AGAGAGAGGCTTTCAGAACATAATTCAATCCTCATTGCTTTCCTCCTTTTACTTTTCCTGTTGATGTGGAATACACATTGTGTGCTACATATTACTTGTGTGTGTTGTGTGTGTGAGAGAGAGAAAGAGAGAAAGAGAGAAAGAGAGAGAGAGAGAGAGAGAGAGAGAGAGAGGAGTTTAGAATGTTTAGATGAAGTTTATGTTATTATAGTGATCAACTCATTAGTTTCTTCTAATCAAAGGAAACACTGCAGACTCCACTATTTGGTGTTTCCATCATCATCTTCATTCAAAAGGATAGGGATGATAGCACATCATCTAACTTAACACAAAATTCGATCTAAATGTTTATACGATTGACTCCTACATAAAATCATAATAGTTCATGTTATGCCAAATAATATCATCGTTGTCGGTCAATCAACATGTGAAATTTAGTCAATCAAGAAAAATTAATGCGTCGATATATTCAATCTTCTATAATAGATGATGACTATAGAAAAAAAATACTTTTTACGTAATCCTAACTTAGAACTCTCAAAACTCGTATTTTCGAGTTTCAATGAATCTTTCTTAGATATCGAAGAAGTCACTTCATAGATTTAAGTCAAAACTTACATCATAAACATCTTTATACTTAAGATTCAAAACTCGTATTTTCGAGTTTCAAACGAATCTTTCTTAGATATCGGAGAAGTCACTTCATAGATTTAAGTCAAAACTTACATCATAAACATCTTTATACTTAAGATTGGAAAACAAACGAATTCAGATCCATTCTGTCACATAAAATCAACGATCAAAATTGACATTCGCGATGAGAAAGTATTAAATTTGATAGGCACCGGTCGTTGGAGCATCTGCTATCACTGTTAAAGTCTGATTACAACTGTTGATCGATGGATGCAATCACCTTTCGACACCACAATAAACCGAGGTCGGTTGTCTTGATCTATGCATTCCTCTTCCACCATAATCACAAGGCGAAGAAGAAAATGATGGGTTTTAATGTGCTATATGGAAACGAAGACCAATGGGTTCAAATCGACCTCTTCATGAAAAGACTCCTATCAGTCACTCATGACACAGACCATACGATACTGTTCTTCTGACCGCCGTGCACAGGGGAATATAATCGCCATTATTCTGACCTTCCAGCTGATATGATTGGAACACCCACTCGTCGATGTGATGGTTTATGGGCTTCATGGGACGCATGTCTATCAGCAAACTCGTCGTAGCTAAGTGTTACCCCAAGTTACAGAGCTATACGTCCACCTCTGTCGGCATGTGAGGCTCCACCGAAGGGATAAGCGAACACACAGGCATTTGGATCGTCTTATTAGCACTCGAATAAAGTCCTCTTCCAAAGGGGAACACGAATCATCCAGAAAGAGTTCACGGTGATCCTTCGACGGGCCTCTTTTGAGTTGTTTTCATGTGTCATTGTAACTATGAGAGGTGCGAGTGGGGACATGAAATGTCGACTACCTTAGTCTTGCATGGAGCTCATAGGTGATAGGCCAATCGAGGCTCTTAGGTGGTGGTAGAACAATGGGCATCGCGATTAGCTCACCGCCCACTCACTCTCATCACATCGTTCTGAGATTAAAATTTTCGACTATTTTAATGTCCTAATTGTGATGGTCATAATGTACGATATGATACATGACTAGATGAAGCTTCAGGGTGATTGATAATTGCATAGCGTGCTAATATGATATGTCAACTATCATAATACTCAATAACGAATGATTAAATGGGCTTTTGGTAATTGATAGTTGCATAATGTATAACATGATATATTAGTTATCTTAATACCGAATGATAATTGCATAGCGTTGAACATGATATGTCAACTATCATGATACCGAATAATACGTGATTAAATGAAGCTTTAGGTAATTGATAGTTGCATAGGATATGCCATGATATATGTATGACATGATATATCTGCTATCTTAACACCAAATGACATATGATTAGATGGAGCTTTACGTAATTGATAGTTGCACATTATGCTCCACTCACTCGTCATACTATCTCATAATGTCATGATGATTACGATATATGACACATGAAACGTTAATCATCTCATAACCCTCGAAATATAGTGAACAACGAATCTTATATACATCACAATCGATAGTATAATGATTTGTTTTTGACTATTTTAATATCCTAATTGTGATGGTCATAATATACGATATGATATGTTAGCTATTTTAATACCGAATAATACATGACTAGATGAAGCTTCAAGGTGATTGATAATTGCATAGTGTTCGAACATGATATATTAACATGTGATTAAATGGAGCTTTAGGTAATTGATAATTACATAGTATATGACATGATATATTGGTTATCTTAATACCCAATGATAATTGCATAGCGTGGAACATGATATGTCAACTATCACGATACCGAATAATGCGTGATTAAATGGAGCTGTAAGTAATTGATAGTTGCATATGTATGACATTATATATCAGCTATTTAACACCGAATGACATGATTAGATGGAGCTTTACGTAATTGATAGTTGCACATTATGCTCCACTCACTTGTCATACTATCTCATAATGTCACGATAATTACGATATATGACACATGAAACATCAATCATCTTATAACCCTCGAAATATAGTAAACAACGAATCTTATATACATCACAATTGATAACATAATATCACGATGATTACGATATATGACACATGAAACGCCAATCATCTCATAACCCTTGAAGTATAGTGAACAACGAATCTTATATACATCATAATCGATAGTATAATGTCACGGTGATTACGATATATGACACATGAAATGTCAATCATCTCATAACCCTCAAAGTACAGTGAACAACGAATCTTATATACATCGCAATCGATAGTATAATGTCACGATGATTACAATATATGACACATGAAACGCCCATCATCTCATAACCCTCAAAGTATAGTGAACAACGAATCTTATATATATCATAATCGATAGTATAATGTCACGATGATTACGATATATGACACATGAAATGTCAATCATCTCATAACCCTCAAAGTATAGTAAACA